AAATACCAGACAATGAGAAGCAAGCCACAGAGAAAGAGCAGACTATTCATAAAACAGTATCACTATCTCAGAATGACAGCCAACTTCTCAACAGCAATAATGGAATCCAAAACACAGTAGACTAGTATCTTCAAAATGTTAAGAGTACAGGCCGGGCGAGGTGGCTCATGCCTGTAATCCTAGCACTCTGGGAGGCCGAGGCAGGCAGATTGCTCGAGGTCAGGAGTTCGAAACCAGCCTGAGCAAGAGCGAGACCCTGTCTCTACTATAAAAATAGAAAGAAATTAACTGGCCAACTAATATATATAGAAAAAATTAGCTGGGCATGGTGGCACATACCTGTAGTCCCAGCTACTTGGGAGGCTGAGGCAGCAGGATTGCTTGAGCCCAGGAGATTGAGGCTGCTGTGACCTAGGCTGATGCCACAGCACTCACTCTAGTCTGGGCAACAAAGCAAGACTCTGTCTCCAAAAAAAAAAAAAAGAATACATAACTGACATCCAAGAACTGTTCTTTCATGGAAAATCTCTCTCAAAATTAAGGGCAAAATTAAAGTTTACCACCAACAGACTCACCAAAACAACTGTTTACATTCCCTTAGTTTCTTTCAAGATGAAGAATAATGATTCTTGAGTTTCAAAAAGTAATAGTGAGGGGAAAAATGTAAATTGGTGATTAAATCTAAGTAAATGACTACATTAAAATAATAAAAACAATATCTAATTTGTGGGTAAAAAAAGAGAGAGGGAAAGATAAAACAAAAATATTTGGCAACTATGGCATATAACTCAAAACAAAGGTAACTGTTATTCCAAAGTTCTAAGGTCCTTATATTTCTGAGAGAAGGATAAAGATTCTGATTACCATTACAGATAGTCAATGACGTAGGGGTCCATATTATGAGTTCTATATTAACATCTAAAAGAATACATAGAGATGATATAACTGGATGGCCACAGGCAAAAGAATAAAGTTGTACCCCTATCTTATACCATCCATGAATATTTATTCAAATGAATCATAGGCCTAAATGTAACAGTTAAAACTATAAGACTCCTCTTAGAGGAAACCATACATTTATATCTTCACGATCTTAAGTTGGGCAACAATTTCTAAGGTACAACACCAAAAGCTCAAGCAACAAAAAAATATAAAGTTGGACTTCATTAAAATTTAAAAATTTTTTGATGCAAAATGATACCCTCAAGAAAGTAAAAAGATAACCCACATAATTAGCAGATAATGTTTGCAAATCATGTATCTGATAGAGACTTTTATATAGATTATATAAATAACTCTTTATGTAATAAACTCAATAATAAACTCCTAGAAATGGCAGACTAGAAACAGCCTGCACACACTGCTCTCAAAGGAGAGGCTCAAAAGTTGCAAGGAGATGTTCACCTATAGCTTGACTGCATTAGAGAGAGCACTGTGAATTATCAAAGAAACAATGGGAGACACACAAAGTAAAGGAGAGAGAAGCTAGGTAAACTGTTTGGCAGGATCGTAAGGGGTACCTGGAGGAAGGCACCCACAAATAAGGAAGGGCCAAGGAGAGAGCCCAGGAACCACACTCTCCCTGCAGGCACAGCAACCTGAGTTGCAAGGGGTTGGCAGCACCAACACCACCACTACCATGGCAGGTACCAGACTTATCAGGGGACTGCTTGGAGACTGTACAGCAGCTCTGAACCAGAGAGCAGGTACTGTGGGATCCCACTGGTTTGTGATCCTGGGTTACTACAATTAATACCATTCTGAGCTCTCAGCCCTAGAGTGCCTGGTAAACACAGGGGTCAGCTCCACTGCAGCCACCTCCCCCATCACACCTGCCAGGCCAGGGAGGGAGTGGGCTGAGCGCACCCCAAACCCAGGCCCCGGAAGATCCTAGAAGAGTAGGTGCCCACAGGCCCCAACATCTCCCGTTACCATCTAGATAGCACTACCAATGCTGCTGCTGCTGTCCTGAGAGGCACCACAGCAACTACCACTACCAGTCCCAGGGGGAAAGAAAGCAACAGCCATAGCAACTTGCCCACAGCACACCTGCCCTCTTCAAGCTGCCATGACAATGCATACTGCATGCTTCAGCACCCCTGCCAACCATGTGCTGAACAGCCACCATTGCCCCATCCTGTCATGCCCTGCCTGGCTGCCACAGCCCCATCCACCATATGCCACTCAGCTCCAACCCGCCCACTACCCAGATGCCATCACAGTGCTGCTCCTTACACGCTGCCCTAGCCTAGACCATGGCATACCACCCACCATCCACCATCATGGATCCACTCCCCTCAACTGCCCCCCTCTACATACCACCATTGTACCCAGACCTCTGCGGAGCCAACTCCCACAGACCTCCCTGTGCGGCCACCATCTAAATAGCCTCACCCAGACGCCACTACCACCACTGCAGGGAGACCCAGAAAGAGCAAACTCCCACACTGCTGGCAGGGCGTGGAGAAGGAAATACCCAGCCTCTACCCAACCTTCCAACAGGGGCCTGGAGACCAACCCATTACTCTGCACAATATGCCCCAGCACTGGCTTGGACTGTGACAACCACAGGGAAATGGGACAATACAGAAGAACAGATGTGTCTCAAAGCATCAACTTCTGTCCTGCTGGGTCAATCTGGAGTAGGACACAAGTGTGCAATCCAGGGACCTCTCTTCCTTGCCACTAAGTAGGAGAGCTCCCAGCAGAGAAGAACAAGTGCACCATGAATTTATCTGTCTTGAGCTGAGAGGAGAGGTTTCAGATGAGAAGGAACCAGCATTGTATTGGGTATTATAAGTAACCTAGAGATGATTTAAAGTATACAAGAGGATGTGCACAGGTTATATGCTAATACTATACCATTTTACACAGGGGACTTAAGCATCCTTGGATCTTGATATCAGGGGTTCTGGAACCAATTATCCACAAATACCAACAGACAGCTGTATTTGCAGAAGACAGGACTGTTACCTAAAATTAAAAACTCTTGAAACTCAAAAAGAAAACAAACCACCCAATTAAAAAACAGGCTAAAGACCTTAACAGAGACCTCACCAAAGAAGATATACAGATGACAAATAAGTATATGAAAAGATATTCCACATCACATATCATCAGGGAAATGCCAATTAAAACAACAAAATATCATTACGTACCTATTAAAATAGCAAAACCCAGAAAACTGACAATACCAAATGCTGAGCAGGATGTGGAGCAACAGAACTCTCATTCATTATTGGTGGAAATGCAAAATGGTACAGCCACTTTGGAAGGCAGTTTCTTATAAAACTAAACCTACTCTTATCTTTTGACCCAATCATGCTCCTTGGTATTTACCCAAAGGAGCTGAAAATTGACATCCACACAAAAACCTACACATGGATGTTTATAGCAGCTTTACTCAAAAATGCCCAAACATGGAAGCAACTAAGATGCCCTTCAGTAGGTGAATGGATTAAAGAATTGTGGTATATCCTGACATAGAATATTATTTGGCACTAAAAACAAGTGAGCCAGCAAGCCATGAAAAGGCATGCAGGAACCTTACATGCATATTACTAAGTGAATGAAGCCAATCTGAAAAGGCAATATAATGTATGATGCCATTATGACATTCTGCAAAAGGCAAAACTATAGAGACAGTAAAAAGACCAGTGGTTGATAGGGGTTGGGGTGAGGAAGGGATGAACTGGCAGAGCATAGAGGATTCTTAAGGCAGTGAAACTATTCTGCATGATACATAATGATGGATGCATGTCATTATAAATTTGTTCAAACTCATACAATACACAACACCAAGACTGAACCCTAATGTAAACTATGGACACTGGGTTATAATAATTTATCAATCTAGGTTCATCAATTTTAACGTATGTACTATAGTGGTGGGTGATGATGATACTGTGAGAGAGTGTACATGTGTGGGGACGGGGGATCTGAGAAATCTCTATACCGTCCAAAGAATTTTTCTGCTGCTCTAAAAAAGAAAGTCTATTTAAAAAATGTTATCACTATCACAAGGAGATGTCACTATACGATCAGAATAGCTAAAATTTTAAAAACATCAAATGCTAGCAAAGATAAAGAGAAAACTGGATCACTTATACATATATGGCTGATGAAAATGGTACAGCCACTCTGGAAACAGTGTGATGGCTTCTTTAAACCCTAAACATGAAATTATATTACACAACTCAACAACTGCACTCTTGGGCTTCTACCAACCCCAGAAAAATGAAGACAAAACCTGTATGCACACCAAAACCTGTATACATACACATGTTTATTCAGAACAGTCAAAAAGTGGAAATGACCCAGAAATTTTTCAATGGATGAATGGGTAAATAAAGCGTTGTCTCTCCAATACCACCATTGTTGAATACTAGCCATCAAAAAAAAGGAATGAACTGTTGATACAACACAACAACCTGGATGGATCTCCAGAGGTAAAAGTCAATTCCAAAAGATTAAGTATTGTAACCATTTATATGGCATTCTTGAAATGACAAAATTATAGAAATGGAGCATAGATTAGTGGTTTCCAAGAGTTAAGGGGGGAGGAGGGGTGAAGAGAGAAGTGGAAGTGGGCAACATGAGGTATACAGAATTGTTCTGTATCTTGACTATATCAATGTCAATACCTTGGTTGTGATACTGTACTATAGTTTTGCAAGATATTACTATAGGGGAAAATGGATAAAGGGTCTCTGATAAATGAAATGATAAATAAAAATATATTATTTTTTAAAACTGCATGTGAATCTATAATTATCTCAATATAAAAAGTTTAGTTAAAAAAAAATGAAAGGAAAACTGTAATATGACCAAAGGGACAATTTCTTTTGATATATAGCAATACTGAGCATTATTAAATATTCAAACACTACTTTATAATTTTTAGTTTGAAATAATAAAACATATCCCTTGAATATTCTCATATCACAACCATTCTCATGAATATGAAGATTCATATCTAAAGACTAAGAATTTTAGCTCACCTTCCACACTGTCAGAACAGGAAGTTCCAATGCCGGTGTCTCCACTGTCAGAAGCTATACTGTGTCTCCTGATATGGTTATTTCGATGGTTAGATGGAACAGTTGTGGCCTGCCACAATGATTCACTACCAGGTAACCATGCTGATAAATAATCTGGGCCTACAAAGGAACATACGCAAACGTTAACACATATGTAATATCTGAGTAGACAGAAGTTTTTTTTTACCTTGTGAAAAATACTTACAGGGTATAATAGGGTTATTTTCTGCCCAAAATAATTTAAAATGATAGATAAGATTCACCAAATAAACTTACATGTCTCATGCACATCAATTCAATTCTGATCTCAGAGCTTCCTCTGGCTAAAGAACTCTGTTTTTTGCTTCTGGCTATTGAAATTTCAAACATGTACTGTTGTCTTATTAAAAATTTTAAATCTACCTAGTTATCTTCAAATGTCAGTACTCTAGAATAATTGATGGGTAGGAGTCTGTGATTCTACATACAGGCAATAGTCAGAATTGGAGCTCAGGGAAAGTCTAACTCAATCATAGTGCATGACAATATATAAAGTATGTACATGGAAGATTAAAAAAATCTACTTTTCTACTATATCCTAATCACATCAAATGAGAAATTATTTTACATTATTTTAATTGAATTTGTTTTATATCTTTAACTTTTGGTAAAAGTTTAATAGCATCGCATTTTCCTACTCTTAGCTTGATTTACCCTTTTGAGTTATAATAAATCTTTATTTTTTAGCTAACTTAAGGTTTTTCAACGTTCTTTAAATGTTTATTTTCACTTATCTTGCCCATTTTTACTTAACTTTTATTTGCCTTTTTCTGTTTTACCCATCACTTTACTTAACTTCATTCTTTTACTGTCAAGTATAATGCTACTCAAAGGATATCCATGGACCAGGGCCAGTCTGAACTATGTGTTCCAAGTTAGGGGCAGAAATAAAGAATAAGTATTTGGAAATTGTTATAGTACTGTAATTAGAAAGAGCAATTTTAAATCTGCTGAATTTAATATAAAAGCTGTAGAAGAACAAATTTTTACTGATGCCTAATACCATGATTCTCAAATTAGGGCCTACACACATATTCATGAAAGTTAAATTCTCTACATGAATTTTAACTTTTCATTTCAATTATAATCCTTTAAAAATTAATAAGCATATTACAGATTATCTAAATAACTACCTTAAAATATTATTTCTACGTAATTTTAATACTCCTATTAATCTGCATAGCTACCTTAAAACAGATTTATCACATAATTCTAATGCCCCCCATTTATGTTTGTAATTGCAGTTGCTTCCAAGTAAGAGCAAATGACATCACTGGGCACTTACCATGATTTGAAACAAGATAGCTTTACAGAATTATCAAGTGACACCCTATTGAAATTGGTATGCAAGGAATGCCTTCTGGCAGTTTAAACATAGGATCACAAAATAAAAAACAAATACATAAAATTAATCACACCATTTTTTACATTTTTAGGAACAGTTATTCTCTATATTAATTAACATTAAAATCAAAACACAGAAACAAATAACAAAATCAGACCTGAAGTTACTTCTGTCATAGTAATCCCAACATTAACGATTCAATTTTAATAAAACATTATGCCACGTAAATATTATTTTAGAGATTTAAATATAATTTATAAATTAAATTTGGGCTTTATAGATGTATTAAGTATATAAGAAGCCTTAAAAGCAATATACATTTAAATTAACAACCCCAAATTGAAAAATATTAGCCAAAGAGATACTTCTATCACTTGGAGGTCCTGAATAGCCACTTGATACTTTGTAGATTCTAGACCTCTCTCAGAATGGGACTTATTTTAATTCATGTGATTAAACACTCTTACATTAAAGCACTATAAGCACTAGATGAAGATATTCTGTCACCAGATCTGTTCCAACTCTGATATGCGGTCTATAATCTATAGTAAATGTTTTCTTCAATCAGGCAATAACCCATCTAAATGAACTCAAAGTCCTATCTAAACCATCATCAAAACAGCAACCAGCCCACTACTTTCTCTCATAAGTACAAACCTATTAGTTGGAGAAATATTATTTTAGGAATACTCAACAATAGCATAATTAGCCTGGGAGTACATATACATAGAAAACAATGAAAAGATCCCCAATCTCACTAATAATGAAAGAAATGAAAAAGTTTTTGGATTTTTTAAAAGTATCACATTGGCAAATATTTGAAAGACTAGTGTCAACAAAGTGAAGGGAATGTTTGTATTTTTTGTGGTCTTGTAAATTGGTACAACCTTTCTAAAGTGCAATCTGGGAACAGATATCTAAATTTCAAAATATTCATGACTTCCTCCTGGGAATTTACCCTAAAGAAATACCAGACGAGTACAAATATATGTAAACACAAGGACATTCCTAACAGCCCTGCTGAAAATAAAATAAATAAATGCCTAGAAACAAAATATATATGTAAATTAGTTGAAAATGTTTAAGTGCTAAAAATTATTTTATCAATCTATTTAACATGGAAGGACATCCAAAATACGTGTGTGAGACAGTAGCATTTTACATAGCTGTATATATAGTATGATTCCATGATTGGAAAAGAGTCTGTACACACATGGAATAAAACTTTAAGGAAGTTCTAAATGCTAACATTGCCTATAAGGTTTTACTAAAGGCACAAATGTATCTAAACAGGAACATTTACTCCATCATTGATTGGTACCATTCATTCTGTCAGTTTATGGGGGAAAAGACTAAAAGTTACATATACTGATTTGCAGATTACATCAACATTTGATTCTGAGCTTCGGAACCAGCTATAGATAAAGATATATAAATTCAATAGACTCCTAGTAACAATTTTTAACAAAAGCTGCATAAAAGCACTAAAGTAAAAACCCTTGTTTTTAGTAAATGCAACTATTTTGAGCAGTATAAAGTAATGCTACATTTTCACCCACAACTGCAGTCCTCAACCCCCAGGCCACCATACCAGTCTGTGGCCTATTAGGAACCAGGCCACACAGCAGGAGGTGAGCAGCGGGCCAGCCAGCAAAGTTCCATCTGAATTTACAGCCTCTCCCCATCACGTGCCATCCACCCCTGTTCCCCCGAATTGCCTTCCATGAAACTGGTCCCTGGTGCCAAAAAGGTTGGGGTCTGCTGGCCCACAATACACCTTAACCCTATTTATTGTTGACAAATCTTCACCAAGGAAACAATTTACATATTAAGAGAACATAATCACACACGCACATGCACACACACAACCAGTAATGAGGGACAAAATCCAATATATATACTAATGCTATGGTGTTATTATCAAGAGCTAGAAAAATGTTCAATAATTAGTCTTTTATAACTACTGCCAGGAAGAATGGCTCAACAAAACATTTTATGTAAAGGGCCAGACAGTAAATATTTTCAGCTTTGCATGCCATTCTTCTGTCTCAACTACCCAACTCTGCGACTGTAGTGTAAATCAGCTGTAGACTATAATAGAAGGGGTGAAGCTATGCTGCAATAAAACTTAATTTCTAAAAAACAGGACAAATCAGATTTGACCTGTGGGCCATACTTTGCAGACCCCTTAAAAATTCTTTCTAATTGGAAAATATTCAGTAAGATTCCATTGATTCATAATGAGTAACTCCAGTCAGCACGGTACTTCATTCCTCTATTTGGAAGAAAGCCTGGTTCATCCTGGAATACATTGTGAGCAAGCCATGCTGTTCAGAATCTGACAGTTCATGAGAACGTTATTGAGGTTTTTCAAAGATTACAAAGATAAATGTCAAAAACTATTTTTGATTTCTTTTTCTAGAATAAAATGATCTCAGTTTATCTGTACGGCATGGAACTCTTGGACAACGTCAAATATGTGTGATAATTGACTGAGCCATGGGGTACTCAAACATTATTTGATCAAACATTATTTCTGTGAAGGTGTTTTTGGATGAGGTTAACATTTAGCTTGGTAGATTGGATAAAGTATACTGCCCTCCAGAACGTGGGTGGCTTCATCCAATCAGTTGAAGGCCCGAATAGAACAAAAAAGCTAACCATCCTCTGAGTAAATTATTCCTTCCTGACAGCCTTTGAACTAAAACATTGGCTTTTTCCTGCCATCAGACTGGATAAATAAGAAATTCACAAATAACCTCAGATTTCATATTGTCCAGGAATTCTCTGAACTCTTCTTTGCATATCTCTACCTTAGAACAAACCCACCACATCAAACTGAAGTTATCTGTTCATGTACCTGTCATCCTTCTAGGCTACAATAATACTCATTGAGGGCACAGGCCACTTGTCCCAGCCCTAACTCAGGGCTACAGGCAGCACATGGTAAAGATTCAAACAAAGAATGTACATAACAACTGCAAGGAAATACAGTACAGCAAAATACTGCTAATTTTCTCTAGATGGTAAAATTACTGGTGATTTCTTTGACCTTTATGCTTTTATTTTCCTTTTAATTATTACAGTTTACTTTCATAATCAGAAACAAAACTGTATTTTTTCAATGCATTTTTTAATGCTTTTTCAATGTTTAAATGCTTAACCCCTGCTACTAATAAACTTAATAATTTACTTATCATTTTAACACTCCTTAATTTCTTAGGAGATAGTTTTTCCTGGAATGAGAATGGCAACCTTAGTTGGCCTAGCCTAGAGTAAAATGAATACATTCTACCACATAAATCAAACCACTGTAACATCAAAAAATGTTCATAAATACAAAACCATACGTTAATGTACACAAAATCTTATCCACAAACTTGTATGGAAAAAGGTCCATTACTTCAAAATAACCTTGTAATAGTCTCTGGTTCTCGTTTTGGTTGATATAGCTTCAAGTCTGTTTCAATAATATCACAATTGAGCTCATGAAAAGAATACTGAAGCTTTTTAAAGCTGTAGGAGGTTCTACTAGGGAATCATAGCAACTCATATATTTTGACAAAAGACCAGAGTGGTCGTCCTTTTTCCAGGAAGGTATCCTCATCACAAGATGAGCTCTCGACCAGTGGTCCCCAACCTTTTGGGCACCAGGGACAGGTTTCATGGAAGACTATTTTTCCACGGAGTAGGCAGGGATGGTTTTGGGATGATTCAAGTGCATTATATTTATTGT